TTACTTTTCCTCGCAAACCTGTAAAAACCTACCATGAAAGGATAAGAATCCCTCAAAACATCCAATAAAACCTACATAATGGTTCACAATCATTTTATTCCCTTAGATTAAGGATTACAGCGACACCAATCCATTGAGTGTCATGTCATGCCGGGGACGGATAAGCTATACAGTGATACCAGGGGGAGGCAGTTGGACGACGTACGGCTCAAACTACATAATACAAGTTTAATTATTCGAAAACCCTCTCCGCGCTCCTCTCATACAATTGGTGGATTACGGGGGGAGGGGAGGGGGTGATCCGCGGATAATCCGAGCTAAGCGACCATTGTTGTCGGCAACAGAGATCTGGGTAGTCTGGACAAGTAAAAATGGACCTGGGATTAGCCTACCGCAGCGCCTGGAACTTTTGATCAGTCTTTTATGGAAGTTTATGAAAAGTTTGTCAGAATTCGTTGGATGGTATTGCAAGTTACGTCGGTCTAGGGGTCTAGGATTGGATGGTAGTTTTATTTTGATTAAAAAATTATGATATGAAAAAAATACTACATTAAATTACTATCATGACCCAACGTAACCCGGCACAACTTGCATTCGAAGGTTTTGGGGCCGGTCCAGGTTTTTAAGCAAGAAATACGGTCCAAGTATGGTACTTGTATTACAGAAAAAGATTTTAGACTAAATTGATAATAGTAGTCGTTGAACACTATTTTTCCTGAAGCATTGGGTTGTAAAATGTCCTGTAGAAAAAACTGGTCTTTAGTAAAAAAAAAACACAGATAACATCTCTCCATTTTACACCATTTTCCATATCCAGCTAAAGGCTTTAAAAAGTTAACCTTATAACACTTTCTGATTACGAAATTTCGTGATGGCTCTGAATAAAATCATGATGAACTTACTAAAGGTGGATGAAAATGTATTAAATAATACATTGACGGCTAGCTTGGTATTGCAAACTCGACCGAATTAAACTGCAAATACATAGATTGAGAAAACACTGTCTAGTGTAATAAGTTGTGCAAGTGCAGATATTAACGAAGTATAGTGTTTGTTTGAATAAAATATAATCTATAATTTTAGAATATTCTAAGACGATTGTTCTGTAACTGTTAAAAATAGAAATTCTCGCCCCTATACCTTATTAACGTACTTCTAGTACGTTAGCAGTTTATTATGCAGTATGTTTCACCATCAACAAATACGTAAAAATACTACACCAAACAATTATATAAAATCGTTAGAAAAAAATCCGTTTTATAACTTAGCAGAAATAATACTGAAGTGTGATGAAAGATATAGTAGATCACAAGCAAATTGGGGGTTTTTTTTGCCGTCCCTCATTTTCCAGTTACATTTGAGCTTTTGTCAACTAGAGTCACTTTAGTATCTTATTTTCATTAAATACTTTTACAATACCACTGTATCTTAAATTTCTCGATTCAATATGGATTTTTACTTAAAATCACTGAACCCAATTTATACGATATGAGGTTAATTTATTTTACAAAATTTTATCCTCCCCAACCTTTTGAACTGGATACACTACCGTAAAATGAAACGGACGCGATTTGAATTTTACTTTTCTACGCACAGCCGTTAGCCATACAGTGCCTTAGGGCAGACTTGTTTTTATTACAGCTCTTGATTCCATCTTGAAAAGGACCTCTTTTTAAGCCGGTCTGGATTAAAGAATTATTCAAAGTACAAGTAGCTCAAATGGACGGATGGGGTTACGAAATGTGGGGTTGGGGTTTTGTAAATATTATAATACATTATAGTTCTTGGTAGGTTTGATAACTCTCATGAGCTAATGCTCTCAAACCGCTAAACTGTGTTCCAAAACTATGTCTTAAGACTTAAACTTTTGACTTTTTAAAGTACAAACCTCAACTGTTTTAATAGCTAAATCTAACCAGAAAATGATTCGGAACATCCAATTTAGGGTTTGAAAATTCCTACACTACCTTAAACGGAATATATTTTATGATTTGATCAGACATTTTGTTGTTGTTGGTTTTCGTGTAGTGATTGAACTGATTCGATTATTTTTTACTTGTGTGTGCATTTTAACATTTGATCATCATCGGCTCCATATCCCTCAAGTTATAATTTTGTAATTTTGTTTAGTCACAAACATCTCTAGATCATTGATAACAAATAAATAAATTTCGATAAAAATAAGGGGTCTATTTGACAGTCCACTAACAATTGAGATGTTAAGCAGTAAACACAAGCTTTTACAGAACCCTTCATACTTCAGTTCTTCATACTTACCAACTAACCTCCTTAACACACGCAAAAAATTGATTTTCTGTGTGACTGAGCGGTTACAATGCTCGCCCGGTTTCCAAATTAGTAGACAAATTATTAGCTTTTTGATGATTCAAAACTGGTCCCAGTTGTTTAAGATAATTAACTTTAAAAAATAATAGTCTTGAGTAAATGACCTAATATATTTGCTATACTACCCAGTTTTTCGCTCTTTTCTACATTCATCCACGCGTATGCGGATTTCTCCGTCTTCATAATTCGTGTAAGCGATTGATAAACAAACATTCTATAACTATATAGAGCTAGTAAACGATTGAGCTCGTTTTATAAAAGAAAATCGATCTAATTCGAGTTCGATTAATCAAAACCCGTCAAAAACATACCCCAACTGAGTGATTAAATTCACAGCATTATCGCGCCAAAAGAAACCTATCGCCCATTCACCCCTATAGCCTCTAGCCAAAAACAGCTAAATAACGCGTGCGTAATTGATTAATTTGATAGTAGTTGTGGGGGGGGGGGGTCGCAATGTACCGCCCCGGGCACTGATTATGGGGGTGTTCACCGGGGAGGGGATTTTGATAAACTAACTCATAATTAATCCAAACGGTGGCGAGTCATTTACAGTACAAGAGGGTGGTAAGCTCTTGCATGTGACAGAAGTATTGTTTATTTTTCCTAGTAGTACTAGCCTATGCCTATTGGTTTACCATGGTCAATCAGTAGGAGGTCGGTTTTCAAGAGCCTAACTGTAAGCTTTATAATGGGGCACTAAATAGAAATAATCGTCTTTTAACTGCAAAAGTATTACCAATTTGTAATAGAAAACTACATAATTTCAATACGGCAAACAATTAACGGTATAAGCAATTTAGAGAGAAAGATGAAATTGGACCTTTCGTAAAGTTTGGACAAATGGCGTTACAAAACATTAATATAAAAATTCAAATATATTGCAACACTAAAGCGTTTATTTCTGGCACTAAGGATAAAAAATAATTAGGGGTGAGTTCTTTAGCTAGGTTATTTTTTTGTTAATTTACAGTGTAGAACAATAACAATAATCCAAAGAAGTCAATAGGGAAACCAATTAATTGTTTAGAGAATATTATTTGACTGTCAAAATATAACCGTGATTTCAAAACTCACTTCAATAATTAATATAAACCACTTAAAACATACACAACATTTTAATATTCACAATTAGTTTATATACAAAATATTAGAGTTTTAAAAGTCAAAAAGTACATTTAAACCTTACTGTACTCCATTTTTTCGTATAACTTACAGTTGTTGATACAATACCATATCATAACACTTTCCGTTGATAAGTAATTGTACACTCGACAACCCTTTTATCTTCCGGTTAGAATAATATGCCTATTGTTCACCCCTTACTCCCCTCTCATGAACGTGTTTGTGGAGGGTTGGAAAGGGACAGATCATCCCTGTTAATTAATTGCCGTAAAAAGGCTCTCAACAACCCCTGACGTTGTAGTCTCTATTAAGACAGTCTTCGTGATTTGAATTTGACAACAGTAAACATGCCTAAACAGAAATTTCTTTTGGATAAAAAAAAATTATTGGTTTCTAGCAGTTATTGGAATTTTTCGAGAATCGAGCTTAACAGGACAGATTGTAGAAAACATTAATTATTTAAGGAACTAAAAGGTTTATATTTCAGGTCTTCCCTTAAATCAAAAGGTTAATGGTTTTATCCTAGGCGAGGTTGAATTATGGACCCTGGTGCCTGCATCATTGAGCCGTCAGTAAATAAATGTTAAATTAATCTTTTCTGCCACAGCATGGAAATAATAACTTTTCCAATACGAAAATTGCTCATTGCCGCTCTAGAGCGGGAACAAATTATTCTCGCTTGCTTAATCAGGTGATTTTCCAGTCATTACCGCTCTCGAAATGCGCTTCATGTGGCTGTCTACGGTTCTCGAGTGGCAGCTATTTCAATTTATATATTATTACAATCCATTATTTTACACCTAGTTTTGCTGTACTAATCCAGCAGTGTATTGCTGGATTTAATTAACAGTTTTAACTTCAAGGCTGCCAATTTAATCCTGAGATAACTTTTAAAATAAATAACTCAAACTGAACTTAAACTTCGAACTATTTGAAACTGGACCCTACTGTTCTTTATCAGGAATGACCCGGAAAGAATACCGGAAAACGTTTAATAAATAATTGTTACGCCTAAAGAAACAGTAACAAATAACAGTAATAGTCAACAAAACTACTAAAGTCGTTTAACTGAACTTCCATTTTAAAAGCTCCATAGCTACGTATCCCCGGGTAAAATGATACAGGCTGTTACGAATGGGTATGGGATTTCAAAAAAAAGCAAAACATGTATGGTCTACTTACAATAGATTTAATTTGACAACCATTAAAAGGGAAACTATGCGTACACCATTATCATGTATGCCCTCGATTAACTCCCATAACATTTTAGTATCTCGGATTGTTTCATTTTTTTTTCAAAAATGCAATGCAGTTGAGTACGTTACTGCTAGTGGAATGACTCAATATGTTTATTGGGAGTATGAGTGTCTTCAATTATGACGATCAACGTTCAGTGGTTGTGTATACAGGTGTATATGCAGCATGGAACCATGTTCGAACATAGTGCCTCAACCGCGGTATAGATTTATATCTTTGTTTTCTAGGTAAGTTTACAAAAGTTGTGTGAAATAGAAGTTACCAGGTTGGCTTAAAACGGATTTAGCCTGTATGTTTGACGTTAAACGCTCTTCTAGTTTCGTGTTAATCCAACTGCGTTATAAATATATATATTTTGGTTTTCAAGGTAAGTTTACATAGTATAATATAGATACACAATCCTCGTGCTTAGTGCATAAAGATAACATTTGTAGTCGGTTTTTTTTATTCTGTCACGTGGAGTTAAACAATAACTTTAAAATTAACATAGAACGTGTTGGTGACATACTAATAAAAGTATGGTATAAGTGGTATATACTTAATACCAAAAGGGGTTTCCCTGTAGCCTAACATCCCTTTTCAAGCAGCCCTATATCCATTTTTTTATGATTGAGGTCCCAGCAAGATCGCCAACTAGTTTAAAAACTCAACTCAACTGTTTGAACAAATATAAACCAAACTCATATAAAACATTTTTTACTTTTTCCCCATAGTAGTATCATAGATCATTGAGACCCTGTCATTCATTTATAACAACGTGGTTATTTATAATAAATCATTCATTTATAACAACGTGGTTATTTATAATAAAGAAAATCTTATAACAATTTAATTAGTGCAAGGATAATATCCTAAAATCTTTCAAAAATATTGTTGAAATTACCAGTTAACTTGATAAAAATATTTAGAACTAGCTGAGTACCCGTCCTTCGCACGGGGTCTGCATATAAGTATAAAATGCTTATTGCAGTTATACGCAAGCTTTCCGTTTGCAATGGGGGAGGACACAGGTTGATAAAATTTTGCTCTTTATATTTACTGAATGATATATAGTATAACACATCTACCATAGCTATAATGTTCTACCACTGCACCTAAACAATAGAAAAAAAGAATTAATAATCATTCGCACAATATCACAAATTATTCATTAAATTAAAAACATAAACATAACTGTTAACAATCCTACTTTGACGGTTCTCATTGTGTATCACAGATTTTTGTTGCTGCTTGGTTCAAATTAGCTGTTGCCATATATGCAAAAACAAAATAATAATAGTGCTGCACCCTGTTGGGAAAACTTATAACTTTTTAATGCTAATGCATATTATAGAAAAAACTTGTAAACTTGAAACAGCTGACTAAATTCCTTAATTATGAATACTCATAAGCTAACATGGAGAACTACAGAGCCACTGGGGCGAAGTCCGAAAGGAATTTTGAGATAAGAATATGCCTATATGTTAATCGGGAATGTTAGCTATCGTCATGCCAAATTTCAGCCCAATCTGTCCAGTAGTTATTGCGTGATTGAACTTCAAACAAACAAACAAACAAACACACACACTTTCACATTTATAATATTAGTAAGATAATATATTTTTAACGAAGAGAAAAAAAATTTAAAAAGCTTGCTTTCAGTTTACACAATTACAGTCGGTTCCCTAAATCGTATAATTCTAAATAATATAATAAATCATATAAAAAACTATTATAATTCATAATTCAGTCAATACACCTGCATGCAGGTAAGCAAATATTGAGTCATCCTTACAGACACGTTTAAAAGTTTCCCATATAGAAAACCAATGGATTTGGATAGGCCTATTGATAGGAGACATTTCATGTTAGTTGCGTAAAGTTTGTGCACTTATGTTCTTCTGTTATTTTATGGTAGGTTTTACAAGTTGTGCCCTACTTTTTAAAAATAAAAACAGATGACAAACTTTAAAATTGAGTTAAAATAACTTTTTCTGCAACTAATTAATTGTCATACACAGTTGAATTTTGTTTCTTGAATTAGTTTGTAAACATCTGAACTCTAAACATTTTACACACACACATTTTCCTAAACATCCAAATGGTAATGGAAACAAAAGAAATTCGTGCCTACTAGTTGCACAGATCATTATTAATGATGTTTAAATACCCAGGTATACCTTGATAAACTACATTACATAAGCTGGACCTGGACAGAAGCAAGCACCTTTTAACTGTCTTCTGCTGATCCATATAGTTTACAAATAATACTCTCCTGCTTAATCTTGGTCAAGAACAAATTATTTGTCGGAAACAGAAACGTTCAACAATTAAAAATTCGTATAAATAGTCTGATTTAATTTATTTCCCTCGATTTATTGTTCGGATTTAGCAATATTCTGCTAGTAGATCATCCAAGTGGCAACTTTCTCAATTACCCGAGTTTTACCTAACTAATGTCTCTAACCGGCGAACGCCATCTTTTACTAATTAATAACTCACTTAATACAACGTCTTTGTCTTCAAAGACGAGCGTTTAAGATACGCTTCTTGATTTTAGTTTGATAAAACTCCCTTTAGTAGAGCGTCTAAAATATTTGAATATTAACGGTATGAAAGTGTTGAGCCAGGTGTAAAATTGGCTCAAAGAAATTTTGGATCTTGTTTACTCGCTTTTGTTGCAAGTGCTCCTTAAGTTTTGAGGAAATTGTTTTCAGTCACAAATTTAAGTATTTTTCTATTTTTTCCCAAAAGCATTTATTGAACACACTCCCATGATTGTCCTTATTGATCAGCGTATTATTGTTTACAATTATTTGTTTTTTAAAATTTCAACTTTGACTAGTTTAGCCAAATAAACCAATTGAATTATAAACAATAGCTTGTCCTCTTATTCTATAACGAAAAAGTAAAGCACAAATCATAAAATTAACCCTAAAATAACAGAAACAGAAATCTGTCGACTCTAGCAGTTACCAACATGAACTAGACATGAAAAACTAGCTTCAAATTTTGCAATGGGATGAGTAATCTACTTGTTTTGGTTAGTCTGTGCTAAAAGCTAAGAGCCTACTACATACATACAAGAGTTGAGAGCTTACTGATAACACTCACTCTATAAAATAATGCAACATGTTAGTATTCACATAAAATAGCAGCTGACTTTACCAAGCTTAAATTGATCTAACCGAGCTTTTTGAGTGAAAAACAAATAACTCTCTGGTACAAATAGCCTATACACCGGCTGATTACTGTGTGGTGTGGCAAAAATTGCATTGTCTATCGTCAACAGGTTAATAACCCTAACCTGAGTCAGCTTTAAACTCCGGCCATAGCAATATACACCAGTACAACTAAGTGCGTGTGTCTGGCGACTTTCAATGTTAAACATTGGTTGTAGATTTGTTTGTTTTTCCGCTTCTGTAAAAACTTCCCAAACGTAGTTTTGTTAATATCTAACGCCTTCATTTCAAACTGTATGTGTAGCCTGGACCACTTTTCTGGATCTTGTTGGTGTTTGGTGTCTGTAGATGTCTCTGCTGCTATAGGTTGTCCCTTCAAATTGAGGTGTACATTGACGGTAAGATTCATTGTAAGGTGGTGACATTTTAGTGTCTTGTAAGATATAAATTTACGTATTTATTCATGCTGGAAAACCTAATATGTGTATTTTCACATAAATGCCTGCTGTATAGCTACGTAAAAGAGGATATTTTGAACTCATATAATGCGATGAATACTTAATTGACGGATTTTTCTTTTGTGATATTTGAATAATATTCATGCACCTATACTCCATATCATAGAGATTATTTGGCTAAAGAAAAAGCTGATTTTAGTCAGTGACAAGGATCACACATTCACCCTTCACTCATTGGTCCAAAATATGCACCTTGGAGTGTCAGCATATAAATCAATTTATCATAAACCGGACTTGTAAAATTCCTCCATAAGTTTAAATATTGTGTTTGTAATGACTGTATCCTGGTATGATGAAAGATTTAAAGGCGCCGCGTTATTTTTGGCGCGCCGACCCGCGACGGTTCTGGCGGGAGAGCACGAGCCGGCCTCTTATCAGTGGCCTGTCACAAAGGTGATAACAAGAGCACCGCTAATTGGTCGATAATTCCCGCCACCACGCGTGCCACCCGTGTTTTCCCTCCGCCGCCAATCAATTCTGATTGGTCAATTAGTCTAGTTCCAAAGTTTAAGGAGAAATTTTGTTCACGCAATACCGTTGGATAAGTTTTACAGTACTACTCAGTTATACTAAAAGTGGACAGTTGTTTTGTGTAGTCGTTGGCTGGACTTAAAATTAATAGTTAGCATTACTCCTTTTATGCAACGAGTAATGAATATAAAATCTCAAAAAGGGGTCTTGAAAAACTGCTACTAAAACAGTTTGAGTTCCTATTGATCACATAATTAATCCTATTATTAGTTAACATCATAAATGAACCCCTGGACTCCTGTCCAAAGGGTACAAATTAAAAAAAAAACCCTAATTTATTTTAGCTCTCTGATATTGCCGCGGCCGGATGGTTCGGAGCTCCCCATAAGAAGACATCCTGACCAGAACAAACTTTAGCCTCTCCGGGGGGCAAGAATTTTCTCCGTAAAAAATCCCCCCACACCAAAAGACATTAAAAATTTACCGTATTAGGGCGCACAAACGTTACCTAATATTAACCAAACATAGACACGGGCTTTTAATCCATTCCGTATCTACATCTGTTTACAGTATCAAATGTCAGTGCCAAACTATCTAAGAGTGTTGATTATCCTAAAAACATCTCTTCACTTCCATCATACTTGAACGAATTAAAATTGAATAAACTAAAGTTGTAAAATAATTGTCCGACTGCTTGCTTAGAAAATCGCCAATTTGGGATTAGTAATTTTCAAACTATTTACTCTACAGCAATGAAAGTAATTGATTTCAAACTATCAACTAGTATTACTCAACAAAGTTGAGCCATGGTTGAGAAAGAGCTTATAACACTGTAATGCCTCTTAGTTGAGATAAAGATCTAGATCCTTCAAACCCTACAAGCCGACCACGTATTAGCTTTTTGTCACCTAATTCCGGCTTAAAATAACTTTCCGATATTCAAATCCATTTTTACACTCTAGTAGGCAGACATCGTTACAGAGTCTAATAGGGATTGTCAAAGCGATACTAGGGCGGCGTCTTTCAGGGGATTTTAGGAATTTCTACAGAATTCGACTTTACGAAACTTCGGCTAGATTTGTCTATTAGTATTGAATTTTAATAGGGCAAGTAGACTATTTAACCTATTGGAACATCTGACGCATTATTTTTCATGTTGTTTACTTGACAGGAGGCATTTTTTATTTCATTAGAATACTACCTTTGATTATTGATAG